CTCTCTAAAAGAGTGGCTGCTAGACAAGACTTACAACTACCTGAGGTACAAGAGAAACATCACTTCCTCAAAAACCTCCAGCCCTCTCCACATGCAAAAATTTTGATTCCAATTGATGAGACCATTAGGGAGGCTGCCAATGAGATCTAGCAGACACCAGCATCCATGCCTCCAACTAACAAACAGGCGGATAAAAAACACTTTGCCCCCCCAACGGTGCTGACTTTTTATTTTACCACCCACAACCCAAATCTTTAGTGGTGACTGCCGCTCAACAGAGATCCAGACTTCTGAAATACAAAAATATAACTGTGGATAAGGAGAGCAAAATGCATGGACCTCTTTGGGCATAAGATTTACTCCTCATCAACTCTGCTTCTCCGCATAGCTAATTACACAGCCTTACTGTCCAACCACAACTTTGACAGCTACTCCAATTTCATGGCCCTTATTGAACACCTACCAGAGTCAAAGAGGCCAATATTAAAATCTATCGTGTGGGAGGGATATGCATGAGCAAGAACCTCTCTCCAAATAGCCCTTGATGTCGGTGATGCGGCAGCTTGTGCCACGGCTACATCTGTAGTTATTATATTATATTATTATAATTATGAGGAGGGCTTTGTGGCTACAGTCAACTGCAGTCCCCCATGAGCTGCAAACAAAAGTGGAAAGCCTTCCTTTTGATAAGCAAAAATTATTATCCGGAAAGACAGATGAGATTCTGCACTAGAGTAAAGACTCGAGAACCACCTGGATATATACGCTCCACCATACTGCTGTAAATGGTATGTATCATACCAAAGACATGGCAATATTTCATACCCAAGATACCAGCAGCGAGTCTCTGACCAATCCAGACCAAGACAATGGCCTCAGAGGAGGTGTCCTGAGAATAATCATAATTCAAACCAGCAATCAATCAAACAACAGTTTTGACTTCCTGGTTGAGGGCTTGCAGGATCTCCTCTTGCTGAGACACCCCGAATATTCCACCCCAACCTTCCACCATTGGCTGAGGCCGTTTCACCATCCCTGGGCTGCTATTACATTGGATCATTGAGTCTTGGAGATTTGTAACCTCTAGCTACACCATTCCATTCACATCACTGCCCCCCACTTCCCCGTCCTCCCTGTCCCTCTTTAGGGGCCCCTCTCATGTAAATTTACTGAAAGAAGAGGTCCATCGACTTCTCAATATCGGAGCAGTAGAGACAGTGCCTGAAGAGTTCACTGGCAGGGGCTTCTATCCCCACTATTTTCTCTCAGCAAAGAAGATGGGTGGTTGGAGGCCTATTCTAGTTCTTTGCAGATTGAATCAATATCTTCAGAAACAATAATTCAAAATGGTGACTCTAGCATCCAAAATCCCAGTGTTAGAAAAAGGGAATGGGTTTGCAGCCCTCGACCTGCATGATGCCTATTTTCATATCACTATACACCCCATGCACAGACGATTCCTTTGCTTTATGGTTGGCTCAGACAACTATCAGTACCGCGACTTGCTTTCCAGCCTCTCATCAGCACCGAGGGTGTTCTTGAAGACACTCACTGTCATAGTGGCAAACCTGCACCAACAAGGAATTATGATTTTCCTTACCTAGACAACTGCCTAATAAAAGGGTCATCTGCTATGGATACACTCCATAAGATATCAATAAGCAGACAAACGTTCGCGCATCTGAGTCGTATCTTCAACGAACAAAAATCAATTGTTCTACCTACACAGACCCTAGAGTTCATAGAAGCCCTCATGGAGGTTACACATGCACTGCCTACAGACATGGCTTGCATCCGTTTACATTCCCAACAGTCTTTCAAGATGTCTCTCACTTGCACCACTAATTCTCCATTCTCTCCAATGGTGGACTACCCCAAACAACTCCCTCACAAGCGTACCCTTTCATTTCCCAGATCCATCAGTGGTGGTTACAACCAATGCATCACTTCTAGGTTGGGGTGCACACTGAAACATGCAGACAGTCCAGGACAGATGGTCACGATCTGAGATACAATTTCACATCAGCATTCTGGAATTCAGAGCTATTCACAGCGCACGTGCACGCTTCCTTCCCCTCATCCAAGGCAGAAGTATATGTGTCCTCGCAGACAACATCAACAGACAGGGGGTGCCTGATCACACTCTGCGGCTGTGTCTACACTGGCGTGATCTTGCGTAAAAGCGGCCGCTCTTGCGCAAAAACTTGCTGCCTGTCCACAATGGCCGCGTGTTCTTGTGCACGTAAACTGACGTTCTAATGTATGAAATCAGAGCTTCTTGTGCCAGAACTCTGATGCACCCACTCAGGAATAAGCCCTTTTGCGCAACTGTTCTTGCGCAACAGGCCAGTGTAGACAGGCAACATGAATTTCTTGCGCAAGAAAGCCCTATGGTTAAAATGGCCATCAGAGCTTTCTTGCGCAAGAGAGCGTCTACACTGGCATGGATGCTCTTGCACAAAAGCACATGCCAGTGTAGATGCTCTCTTCTGGAAGAGTTTTTGCATGAAAACGCACCAGTGTAGACGTAGCCCATGTGTAGAGGTAATCAAGTTTTGGAACTGGTAATCAGGTTCTGGTACCTGAAGAATGATGCAACTCCAACAGCAATGTACATGCTGGGCTGACAGAACACCACTGCAGACAAACTGAGCAGGCACTTCTTGGAATAACATGAGTGGGAATTCAGCCTCAGTGTCTTTTTCCCAATCTTCCAACAATGAGGGTTCCCAGTAGTAGACTTATTTGCAATGTTAAGTCAACCGCAGTTGCCACCGATTCTGCTCCCGAGCAGATCAAGGCAAGAGATCGAAGGGAGATTCCTTTACACCATATCCTGTAGTGCTCCCCTTGTGTACGCATTTCTGCCAACTCCCTTACTCTCCAGGGTGATCAACAAGATTTGTACAGACCAAGCCACAGTGATTCTAATAGCACCATACTGGCCAAGGCAACCGTGGTTCCCCTACCTGAGTCATCTAGCAATTGCTCACCTGATTCCCCTTCCCATTACATCCTACCTTCTGACCCAATATCAAGGCAAAACACTCCACCCCAACCTGAGGGTTCTCAAACTCACAGCGTGGCTTCTTCATGGCTCCAAAATGAGGAACTTATCTGTTCTCTTGAAGCATATCCTCTTGAATAGTTGCCCCTTCTCCACAAAGTATACCTACCAAAACAAATGGAGACTATTTCAAGAGTGGTGCAGTCAATGTCAGCTGCAACCAAATACTGTTCCAGTACCTACCGTACTCGAATACCTGATGGATCTTCTCTATCAGCTCCATTCGCATCCACCAGTCTGTCATCACTGTTTTCCACGCGACAGTTGGCAGCCTCTCACTCTTTGCACATCCCATTACAAAGCACTTCTTAGTGGGCTTGCAAAAGACACACCCGCATCTATATCCGCAGGTGCCACCTTGAGACTTTAAACCTAGTGCTCGGCACACTCACAAGAGCACCTTTCAAACCAGTAGCTACGGCCTCTCCACTACACTTACCTATCAAAGTGGCCTTCATAATAGCTATAACCTCTGCCAAAAGGGTAAGTGAAATTGCAGCCCTAATGGTTCATCCACCATGTACTGTTTTTTCCTAAGGACTTAGACCTCACCCAAAGTTCCTTCCTAAAGTTATATCAGACTTCCATATTAATGAGCCCATTTACTTACCCACTTATTTTCCAAAATCCCACAGCTCCCTGAGGGAAGCGATACTCTTAATGGTAGATGCGCCCTTGCATTCTACATAGATAGACCCAAGGAACTCAGGAAATCATACAGGCTCTTTATTTCTGTCTGACTCCCACAGGGGAACAGCTGTCTCCACGCAGCATATCTCCAAATGGACAGCCAATTGCATATACACCTCATAACATTTTTGGAGACGGGAACCACCTCAGACTATTAAAGCACATTCCACTCGTGCAATGGCTGCATCCGCAGCTTTCCTACTTAAAGTCCCCCCAGTTGTCTTTAGAGCAGTGACGTGGTCTTTACACCACACTTTCACACAACACTACGTTCTGCAGCAGGGACCCATACCTACCACCACTTTACCCAATGCAATCCTTGCTGCTTCTCACATTCGACTCCAAGACCCACCACCCTGAGCGGCGGGTACTGATAGCTAGTCAATTGAGTGGCGCACCCACAGGGACACCATTCTAAAGAAGTTACTCATGTTCTGCAGTAACAATGGTTCTTCATATTGTGTGCCATTGTGGGTGCTCCACTACTCTCCCTTCCTCCCCACTACATGGAGTCCATTAGAGGATTGCCGGTAGAAAAGGAATGGAGAGGGAGGCATGCTGCGCCCACAGCTAATGAACGAAAACAGCGTGAGATGGCAACTGCACATATGCAGTGTAGGAAGGCACTGCTAGGCAAAAATCTCTGCTTGCTGGTGCAAGGACACAGACCTGAGTGGAGCACCCACAGGGACACTCATCTCGAAGAACCATGAGTACTCATCCTCTGCAGTAACTTCTTCTTAGTTTTAAAATGATCCCTCACAAGGCACATTTTGTTCAAAGATTATTACAGCAGTATGTAAAGTCACGCCATTCTCATGCCTTAACTTCTCTCCCCCTCTACTATTTATTCCTTTGATGTTTGTATAGAAAGCAATGATATCTCCCCATATCGTTCATTTTGTTAGGTTAAACATGCCAAGGTTTCAGCTCGTAAGGTAGGTCTCTGTTTCTCTGATCATCCTAATAGTCCTCCCCTGCATCTGTTCCAGTTTGAATTAATCTTTCTTAACCATGGGAGATGAAAATTCTCAGTAGAAATGTGTAAAAGGAAGTTAAAAAGTTCCCTTTGCATTGGGAAGAGATGGGTATGAATAGGACCTGCATTTTCCTGGTATCATACCTCCATCACTATATTGGGGATAGGGGCGATGGATCCCATATGAAGATGTAGCATATGATGTGAGGGTTGGCTTGTGTGATATGAGCTCACTTGCTTTTACCTGTGTCTTCTATACACTAGGGCATGTCGTTAGACTGTGTGGAGATCTCCCTGTCTCGTGTCTTTGAAAGTGGTCAGGCTTATGTAGCCCTTTCCCGAGCCCGTAGTCTTGAGGGCCTCCGAGTTCTGGATTTTGATCCCAACGTTGTGAGAGCCAATCCATATGTGCTACAATTCTACAATCACTTACAGAAAGAGCAACTTCTATATCAGGTAACTTCATCAACTGAGGATCTTCATTAGCTTGTCACAAGCAGAGACAGGCACTGAAACTCAGAATCTTAATAGTCCCTTCAAAGAACAGAGGCACAGCGGGTTGTGATGGGAAGGACGGGACTGGGAAAATGCAGGGAAGAGTAGATGGGAAAGCATGTGAAAGACAGATGTTTTGCACAATGGGTGAAAAAAAGCATGTTTAGTCTATGATGTCTAGGAAGAAGTACTGCAGAAAGGGATCTAGGGGTCATAGTGAACCACAAGCTAAATAGAAGTCAGTGGTTTAACACTGTTAAAAAAAAAGCAAACCTGATTTTGGGATGCATTAACAGGAGTCTTGTGAGCAAGACACGAGAAGTCATTCTTCCGCTCTACTCTTATTAGACCTTAGTTGGAGTATTTTGTTCAGTTCTGGGCACCACTTTTCAAGGAAGATGTGGAAAAATTGGAGAAGGTCCAGTGAACAGCAACAAGAATGATTAAAGGTCTAGAAAACATGAGGGACAACTGAAAGAATTGGGCTTGACTGAGAGAGGACATGATAGCAATCTTCAAGTATCCAAAAGGGGTGTTAAAAGGAGGATGGAGAAAAATGGTTTTCCTTGGCCTCTGATGATAGGACAAGAAGCAATGGGCTTAAATTGCAGCAAGAGAGGTTTAGGTTGGACATTAGGAAAAACTTCCTGTCATGGTGGTGAAAAACTGGAATAAATTATTTAGGGAGGTTGTGAAATCTTCATCACTGGAGATATTTAAGAGCAGGTGGGATAAACATCTGTCAGGGATGATCTAGACGGTGTTTGGTCCTGCTATGAGGGCAGGGGATTGGACTTGACCTCTCGAGGTCCCTTCCAGTTCTAATATGCTATGATTCTGTGTCATATTCAGATATACTGCACAGAACACAGCTGAGAATTCCCTAAGCAGAGTCTTTCTTCTTTCACAGAAGGACTAAAAGGGAGAGGATTCACTGGAAATCTCTTGGTTTTTATTCTCTTTGGTTTCTCCATACAGATGCACTGAAGCAGAGGGGAAGGAGAATTGGAAATCTAGCTGAGAATACCGTGGGCTACTTCTGAGAGACACAAGCATAGACTGTTCTGGTCTCAGCAGCCAAGCTGTTGGGCAGATCTTATACTACTTGTGAATTTTTACTTCATCTGTGTTTCTGATTCATTGGCTCGAAGCCCACACATGCCCAGACAGTGAAAACACTAGATGTTCAGAGAGTTAACTTTCTGAGGAAACTCTACATCTGCTTACATCCTGCCTATTTTGGATAGAAGACAGCATCGCATGCCAACCTCTCTTCGGGTACATCTAAACTACATGCCTCCGTCGACAGAGGCATGTAGATTTGTGTATTCGAAAAAGGGAAATGAAGCCGTGATTAACATAATCGTGGCTTCATTTAAATGTACATGGCTACCACGCTGAGCCAACAAAAGCTGATCAGCTGTTTGTCGGCTCCGGGCGCTAGTCTGGACGCTCCCCTGTCGAAATGAAAGCCTTTTATCGACATCCCCTGTAAACCTCATCCTACGAGGCATAAGGGGGATGTCGATAAAAGGCTTTCAGGTCGGCGCGGCGCGTCCAGACTAGCGCGCGGAGCCGACAAACAGCTGATTAGCTGTTTGTCGGCTTGCGCGCTAGTCTGGACATTCCCCCTGTCGACATCAAAGCCCTTTGTCGGCAGCCCCGGTAAACCTAAGGCATGTAGTCTAGACACACCCTTCCTGATGAACACATACTTGCATAATGTTGAACTTGTCCTTTGCAACCTGGAGGAGTTGCTGAACTGGAGCCTACTAGCTGTGGCTCTTGTTACACTGGGAGGAAACTGAAGAGAACAATGCTAGTGCCTGCAAGTATGCTATCTCCAGCTGGTGAAGTGTTAAGAAGATGTCACTCTGGTCATGTAAGGTGCACCCTGGTTTAGTGCCATTTGATGCCATCTGTTTCGCTTGGTGAGACAGGGTGGGTTCACTAGTATTACTGCTGGGTGAAGTAATATGAAGTGATGCCTGTCCTCTTAACTTTGATAGTGCTTTATGACAATAAAAGGATTTACCTACTGCAGTTTTCCATAGTAAGTGCTAGAAGTAGGGATGGAAGGGATTATGGGTGTATCATTAATTCACAGGGTCTGAGTATGACCCAGCCTTCAGTTTCTTGGGAATACTACATTGGGATTTAGTAAACTATTTTCCACTAAGACAGGACTCAGTGACTCTGAGAGTCCCCCACTGACTCTGGGCTCCATGGCTTTGAAATGCACAAGAGCCCCTGCTGGCATACCTTGTGCAGCCTGGAATCAGTGGGACTTCCCGCTGGTTCCGGGCTGTATGCGGAGTTCTGCATTTCTCTTTTGAAATGTACAAGAGCCCTAGCAG